CAACAACAACAACAACAACAACAACAACAACAACAACAACAACAACACCAACACCAACACCAACACCAACAGCAGCAACAGCAACAGCAACAGCAACAACAACAACTAACCCTGCAAAAACTGGTATATATGTATACCGTATACCCATCATCATAATCATAATAATAGTAATAATAATCATCATCATCACCACCACCATGTGTTTCTTCATATTTTCTTCATCATGTCAAGCTTTTTGTCATTGTAAAGGCAGCATCCAAGGTCGCTAGAGGTCGGGACCTCCAAGTGTAAATTTAAAGCTGATGTTGTTGATGATGATGATGACGATGATGACAGTGATGTTCATGACGTTCATGATGACCACAAATGAATCTTGTCACCACGGCACCGCCTCATCTCGCCGCTCCTTTGTCAACAGCCCGAGGTTGTGAGGATTTACAGTGGCTGACGCTGGAAGCGCTCGAACACGCTTTCAATTTGGAGAAGGACTTGAAGGAGTGCGGGATGGCAAGTCATCTCATGGAAACCTGGGCTGTTGACTGAAAGAACTCCAAAGCAGATTCTTTCTCTCTCTCTCTCTCTATATGAAATTATGTTCCAGGGGTCACAAAGGGGTGCCTATTGCAGGCTTGGATAGGGGTCCCCAATATCCACTCACTTAGGGACTAAACAACCCCTTTGCCACCCCAGGTTCCCCTAGTTAGCCGAAGTGACCACGCTACAGTTGTTTGATTTTGGAAGGGCGGATCTTTCTATGATATATGCGCCGTGAAGAAGAAGAAGAAGAAGAAGAAGTGAGATTGTTCTCCGGGTAGATCTTGTAAAAGAGCTAGTGGCTCAACTCCAACCAGGGATTACAAAAGGAACCAGGCAGTCACTGCAGGTGCTTCGGGCCCGGCTTGGTCATGCGTCTTTCGGTCCAAAGAGGTGGAGGATTGAGCTAGACCCAGCGAACCATCACGGATAGGGTTGTACCACCTCAATCAAGCAATGAATTCGGGTCTGTTGGGATCCAAACCCTTTGAAACATATGGTGAAGGTATAGAGAGAGCCGCTAACTCCGCCCAATTCAGGAGTCGCTGGCGGCTCAAGTGAAGGACTTCTATCAGAACCGCTGAAGCTCCCCGCCTCGCGCTTAGAACGGGTCCAAGAAGTCGGTGAGTCGAGCATGACAAGCCCTGCAAAAGTGCCAGGGGCCAGGCAGACATGAACAGAGAATTGGGGTTTGAGAATATGACCTCAAGTCCAGAACTGTAGACTGAACTCGATGATCATACCATACAACGATTTTCAATGTGTCTTCGGAATGGCTTCGCTTTGGGCACATCCTTTGCGATGCAAACACCTTGCGCCCCACGTCGTAAGTCCACCGTCAGGACCTTCGCCCCTCGTGGAACAACTTGTGCCAGACGAGCGGCTTCGAGCTCTCGAGCTGAAAAAGGCCCCCGATTTCATGTACTGCGAGGTGTCAGATCAAACGTGGTCGGAGTGGTCGGATCGGCGCCCTGGAGACGTTTAAAAAAATACCTCCAGGAGCCCCGAAACCAGCGGAGTCATGCTAGAGTTAACTAAGCAGTTCCACCTGAGGATCCAGGATTCAAGGAGGGTGGCCATAGATTGCCCTCTAGGGACTCCATGGAGCCTACCAACGACCGCTGGATTTTGCTAGCTTCCATTCTCGCCAGGGTTGCCTTCAGGTGGATTTCAAAAGAGTGCAATCACCTGTCCTGTTTGGCTCACGTCGATGCATGCATGGGTATGCAAGGTATCCCTGTTTGGCTCACGAACCACCGCGACCCTGGTGCCATCTCAGTGATGGTTCGGGCCTGACCGACCCGTGCGGGGCATCAACATGCCAAGTTTGGAGACAACATGCCAAGCTGCACCGGGTTAAGAATGGTTAAGAGGTTTGCAAATGGGTGTGTGTTTTAAGATGAAGATCCCAAAAATCCCTAGCCAATGGGTTTTCGTCAGATTTTCCTTTCAACTTTGTGGTGGAACTGGGTCTCTATTTTAACACGCCCATATCAAGTGTGCCTTTAGCACGAGCATGAAAGGCTCATATGATATGATGGTTGACATGCGTGTGACCAAAGCTCTTGGGAAATGCCAGTGGCCATGAGCAATCTAAGCTACCGTGTCCATTCGTGTCCACCATATGTACTCTTAGCTCAGTAGAGCTGAGGCTTTTCCCTCAATACCCAGGACCATCCTGGCTGGGTGTCCTGGCTTGGCTGGACTAGTTTACACTGCCTAGGGCTAGGGGTTTCCAGACAGGACAACCAGTTGCGCCTTCGCTAGCATGGAGGAGAAGAGGGCCATCCACTAAAGACTATATAACGCTGGGTGGTGATTTCAGATGTGTAAAACCTGTACTTGATTCGTATGTTTCATTTGTTACCACCAACCAGATAGATCCAAAGCTTCCTGGGAGCTGGAAGTTCCAGGTTAGCCCGTCGATTTGGAACCGGGCAAGATGGTTGATTGCGGGCAAGATCCACAGAGCACACTAATAGGATATCGATATTGCATCATTCTACATCCAATTCTTGATGAGTCAAGCCAGGAGTTCCGTTGTGACGCATGAATCAGGTCATAGGTCTTGAGAAATGTCCTGACTTCGGCTGGATGTCGCTACAGGATACAGGGTCCTGCCGTTCGTTCCCTTTTGAATAAGTCGTGGGAACCGACCTGCAGCACTCCTAGGAACTGGGTTTCAAGACCTTGGTGGACTCCAGGTGGACGACAGGTGGACCTTTGTCCACTGGTTTTGGTCCAGAGACACTTTGGGAGTCAGAGCATCCTGTACCCCAACTCTTATGGTTAAACATGATGGCGTGCAGGTGAACACAGGTTCACAGGTCAACAGCTTGACGGCGAGGTGGGTGGTGCTTTTGTGGGACCACCGTAAGGTATCGCAAGTGGTATCGCAACGGACTCGAAATCAGGTTTAGTGGGCAAGGATGGAACAGGGTTTGAACCCTTGTGGAACTTTTGAACTGTTGACCCTGATTTCATTTGGTTAAAAGCATGGGGCTTCAGTTGCATGGGGCTTCGCCGCACGTGTTGGATGTCCCTTTCCGCTCTCCTGGAAGGAAGGCGGACGGACTTGTCATTTTGCGCAGAAAGAACTCGGTCGGGCGTGCCAGTCGTTTTCTTCCGAGTCTTCCAACCCCTACAGTCCTACGGAATCCTACGGAAATCCTGCAGGTCCACTCACAACACATTGGTGTATATAAATTAGAGGTTCAAAAAAGGGAGATCCCGAACCGGGTTTTGGGTCGTGCTGCACACGCCAAGCAGTTTGCAAGGCCCATAGTCGAAACTGTAGAGAAGGTAGTAAGATGTGACTATAGGTGCTACCCAAGATGGAAAAGCTTGAGAGTTTGAGAGTCAACGTCAGAAGGATCTCCCACCTTCGATCGGAACTCCAACGTGCATTTCTTTCAGGTCACATGTTTGCTGGGATGAAGTAGGTAACCAAACAACACATGATATGCAATGACCTCAAGAATGTTGAATGCCCAGTTTGGTGGAAGCTTGTGTATACTGTTGCTTTGACGTGAACCATTTACATAGTAGAAACCATGCAAAGGGTTCCTCAACATATCCATTTTTGTTTGGAGGATCCTTGTGGTGCTTCAGCCTGCGGGCATTTCTTGGATGTTTTGTTATGTTTTGTCATGTGCCACTTAGACGAGGACTCAGCCACCAGTCACGATCTTTGCCTAATTGTTTGTACCTGACCTTCTACAGTTGCAGCATCACGAAACCGAATTCCAACCAAACCAATCACCAAAATGCGACTTCCTCTCGGTGACACTGGACATGCCACCGAAACCTGCCGGTGTTGCCAGGAACCGCCCGCGAAGCGCCGAAGACCCAACCGGTTGTCAGAGCCCACCATTCCAGTGAAGCAGGAGACGAACACGTCCTTCGTTCATTGTTTGTTGTTTGTCGTTTTTTGAAAACGGTCCGGTTCTTTTTGGTGTTTAAGTTTACGTTGTTTTTAACCGGTTCACTATCTTTTTTGAAAAAGGCTGTATTTTTCTTGGGGTCGGGGGAGTTGTGAGGAGTTAGGGCTCCAGTGCTCAAGAACTTGGAGAATGGAACATGGTTTGTTTGTTTGCTTGTTTGTTTTGGGCAGTGGGATTGATGGTGCTGCAGGAGTTTCTTTTTCAGCGATGGCTCGAACAGTTTGAGGATTGCACACGCCCTGAAGTCATCACGGTGGAAGTGCATGGCATGTTTTTGCAGAGATGATCCGAAGACCAGTCTCAAGCGGATCCAAGCGGTGTCATCCACGCAACCGTGATTCTTTCAGGGAGTGTGTAGAGATTTTGGGGACCCCCAAAGCGAACGAACCAGTGTTCTATTGGTGTGTTCACACAACAAGCGTGGATGAAACTGAAACAAACACGATCCTTAGGTGGGCCGGAGCTTTTCTGGATGATCCCCTAGTAACCGACCGCGGAGGGATTAGCTCAATTCGCCATTGGGCAGAGCGAAGCATCATTCCTTTTGTTCCATGCCTGTAGGAGTTCCATGCCGCCGGATGCCTCAGTCGAGCTTCGGGTTGAGGCCTGCTGGTGGTCATCCCCTGTTTGTTGATTGAGCGAGCAGAGGGGAGAGATACCCAGCGTCAGAGGCTTGTAGATGTTCTGCGGAGTGGGCTGCCCCAGAAGCAGACCTACAGGTCTTGTGCAACGCCAAACGCCCCCCAAAACCGGTATTTGTGCTCAAGACATCCCTCAGAGATGCTTGCGAGCAGAAAGTGGACACCGTTATAATCATGAGGCTCATGACTCTACAGGATCTATATACAGGCTTTTTGAGGCAGGATTGTAAGAGTTTAGTTTAATCTACTTTACCTGAAGCCACAGGTATATCAAGTGGCCCTGGCCCTACATTGACATGGTTCTACACCCCAAAGTGGCCCGAAACTTCCGTAGAGCTGAGGTTAAGATGGAGAAGGAGGAAGATGAAGACGATCCTTGGCTGCCGACGTCCAAACCCTGGGAGCCCTCCGTCCCGTTCGATGGAATTCTCGACCTTCAGTCCCCTTGGTGCAGGGTTGCATGAAGCCAGTGGTGCTAAGATGATCATAAATACGATTTGTGGTCTACTCAGGCCTTGTTATAGATTGCTGTTGGGATTCACGAGGACTTGTTCACCCGTGCGGAACCTGTCCATTGGTCCACTTTTGCCTGGGTTTGGAGGCTTTTCTCCATTGACTCCATGCTTTGATGACTTTCTTTCGGGCTTTTTTGAACAACCTCCCTATTCGGTTGGGCGCCCCGAGCAGTCCCAAGCGCTCGCGACCCAACTCGATCTCCAGGGTTAGAATCGAAAAGGCGCTTGCTCCAATTTGGCGAGGTTGTTCGCAAAGGTGTCGCTTCTCACCTCGTTGAAAGTGCGTTCGCAAAGCTTTTGCCCACTGCACCTGGATCAGACTTCGCTCCGCCTGGTAGATGCAGTCGATGCATCCAACGTTTGGCACTGGCCCGGCCACGCGGTGGTTCCGGACTTCCCGCCGGCGTTGCGGTGGACGTCCGGTCCGACCTTTTGAAGGGGGTTTGAAGCCGCGAAACAGTCAGCAGCCTCGAAACCAAACAGTCAGAGTAGGAATCAAAGACCAAGAAGAACACTCCCCTACTCGGTCTTTGATTCGATTGGTGAAGAAACCAACCAGTCACCCCCAACACAAGATCAACATGTTCAACCTGCAGATCCGTGTGCCGATGACTTTCTATGGCTTTCTTCTAGATTCTGGTCGATGGTCCTGTTCCGCGCGGCTTTTGGTCGGCTCAAGTCAGACAGCTGGGGGATTCGTAAGCTGTCATGAGCCTCTCGCCATGGAGCGACCGAATCGGCTCAGATCCCGAGACTTGGAACGGAGACCAGAGGTCCTCAGGGTCTCTCACCAAGACAAGACCAAACAGCTCTGGCATTGAAGCAAGTGGGGATGTTAGCAGACTAGGGGGATTTTTAGCCAAGAAACACCAGAAACCAACCATGGCCTTCCCGGAGGCTTCTTTTGCATCAACAAAGGTTGTGTCGTTGCTTGCCGCAACAAAGGATCAGCGGTATGATATTTAGCTCAAATATCCACACTCGTCACAGCCAACCAAAAATGTGAGAAATATATATTATATGTGTGTGTGGATGATTTAGTTGTAATTTTGTGTTTTGATTCTGATGTGGCATCGCAAGCTTTGTGCCCCTTGTCAAGTGCATTTCTGGGCTTCCTTTAGCCTCGTAAAGCTGATCGAGTATATGTCAGGATTCTTAGACTAGGGACCTGGCCAGCAGCTGAAAAAGATGACAACCCCGAAACATGTGAATTCTGGTGAATTCTGGACATAGGGTGCCAAGATGTGCCAAGAGCTCATGTTTTTGTTGCCCACCCAACAGCTGGTGGTTTGCTGCTGTATTGGCCAACTGGGTGTGGATGTTCAATGGAAGAGGCGAATGCATGGAAGAGGAAACATGGACCTCCTTCCAACTGCCTATGGTTTAGTGGAGTTCACCCCCTGGTGTGTAGAACAGTTCATGGTTTCTCCAGAGGCCATGGCATCCACATCAACCATGATGATTTCAAGAAGTTTGTAGACCAATCCTTTGCTGTGAGGCTCTGATCTATTCCAACGCACACCCTCTCAGCAGGTCTTGGTTTCGGCACTCCTGGCTCCTCCCGTTCGGCACTCTCAGGAGGCAGCTCTCGTTCGCTTTGGCGTTTGCCAGCTCGCGCCTCGAGGCTCGCAGTGCTGGTCACTCGGCCGCGTTGGGAGTTCAAGCCCAGACCATTTTAAGACATCTTAGATGATACTTCCTTACGCCTCAAACAGCCTTTTCGTGTGTTTTGAAACCCTAAGGTCCAAAGCTAGTAGGACCCCTTACTTCCTGTGTTTGTAAAGCCTTTTCGTTATTGGGGGTTGAAGTACATTGGCGATAATGTATGTGCATAGAATCAAGGTTCTAGATGGTTCATGAGTGGGACGAACGCAGTCCCGAATGGTAACGCTCAAAAAAGGCTGAACCTAAGGAGCCAGTTCCAAAAAAATCAGGTTGGCAAGGTGCTCTACGTTCATGCCAAGGAAGCACCTTCTACGTTCTTCCAGGTCTCGTAGCTTGAAAAAACGCGCACAGGGTGACAGCGCACGCTGAGCGCGCCAAGCGCCACGTCGCTAAGGTCTTGGGTGCCTTGCTTTTGCTAAGCTGCAGACACTGGGCCTTTGTGCCAGCACCTTCGTCTCGGGAGCCCCCCCCGCCAGATGTCCTCAAGCGCCCTGGCATGAACGCTGTTTTCAGGGCATCCTGTTTGATGAGTGGCAATACAGCTATAGAGATAGAAAGGCCCCCAGGGATGATCAGACTGAATCCCTGCGCGTCTGCCCTTGAGGCGAAGCCTTCTTAAGATGTCCGTTGAGCCTTTCTCCATCTCATCCGTTCTCCATTTAAATAGAGTTGATCATGGATAAGAACGGTTGGGCTTGTTTCGGAATCCTTCTACTAAAGAGTTCCACTGAATTCATGCAAACCTAAGACAAGCAGTCACTGGTCATCCGTCCTATCAGTGGACTGATCCCGGCCCCCTTCGAATCTCCTTCCTAGCACTTCCAATGGGTGCCCAATGGAGACCTATAAGTAGTGGGGCCGGGGTAGTCTATTGGACACCCATTGGATAATCCTGGTTTGACCTCCTTTGCCTTTGGGCAGTTGCAGGACTGCTGCCACTGGCGCGGCGGCGGTGGCTGGTGGCATGGCCATGGCCTCAGCAGCACTGGCGCAGGAAGGCGTCAGTTTGGGGCTTTCAGAGCAGGACTGCTCAGCTGATGTGCGGCTTGGGTCAAATCGGTCAAGTCATGTGAAATCACTCCAAACTCGCCCATATCTTTCTACCAGCAAAGAGGTTTTTCCTCTTGAGCATGAGTTTTCTCTAGATTCAGTTGTGGAATGTGAAATTGGGTCCACACCCACAGTGTGGACACATTGCTGGTGTAATCCACAACTTGGAGCCTCATCGTTACCAACGCTCCACGTGTTTTGCAGAGTGGGGTTGTGGGGGGGATTGACAGCCTTCCATCACGAAATTTGTTGTGCCCGCACCATAGGCAACCAATGGCACATATAGTGGTCCCCAAATAGATAGAACCGGTTTCCATTTCTACTCCTCTATCTACCGGGGGTTTGTATGTATAGACTGTCAGAATATATACCACCTAAACTTTAAACGCGGGTTACATTTGGACTGACTTTTGCACGTGTTTGTTTGATGCACAGGAGGCCTTAATGGAAGCTGAACATCCCCCTGGCCCCTACATGTGGAAGAACCTGTTCCTACATGTTCCTACCAAATGGCACATTGCTGAATGTTAACAGGTCATGATGGGCATAGAACCATTGCAGGAAAAAAACACAAACATGGGTCTTCCAGGAGCCGGTGTTGTTTCCTGCATTCCAAACCGCCACACTGGCTTTGCACCAAGCGTATGGTGGCGCATGTTACCCTGGAAGGGTTGACCAGGAGTTGTTGACCGATTCTACAACACACTCTCTCGGGAAATCTGAAACATACCTCCTAGGGCTCCATTCGTACCTTCTAAGAAGGTGGGACTGGGGTGGGTTTAGAGGATCCAAATACCTTAAAAGGAGGTACTTGGAGCCCTAATGACCAGTATTCATTCGTGCGAAGTGGTTGGTTGCTTGGTTTGGCTGCTTGGTTTGTTCGTTTGTTTGGTTGCTTGGTTGGTTGCACACCCTCAGCAACAGCCCAGCGCAAGCAGTTTGGGGGTGTTTTTATGAATTGTCGACCTCACATGTGTTGAACACATGCATGCAACAAGGCACATGGTACCTACAATTTGAGGGATCTAGCATTTTTGCCACTTGAACCACCTGGCGCCTCACACCTCTTACATCTTGGGGTCACCTGACCTCAGGTTTGAACAGAGATGGGGGCCCGAAACGCCCGTGGAGGTGGTCCAGAGCTTGTGCTTAACAGTTTTGGGCCCTCTCAAGATTCCTATTGCACCGGTCAGAAAAAGACTTTTGAGAGAGCACAGAAATCATCTCGCAAGAGCACCTGTTCTGTTTTCTATTGGGGGGGCTGCGAGAGAACTCAACCCCTCCCTCACTTCGCTTCATGTGCAGGATTTGACCCCGGAGACCTTCAGGCCTGTTTGCCCAGCCAGTGCCTTGGCAGGAAACTGCCAACCCTGAAAAACTGATACTTCCAACAATTTGGGGTGGCCAAGACGAGGTTTCCCTTGTGAAGGACAAGTGTCGCACCTAAGAGTTGCGGAACAACTTGCTCCTTCTATCTACTACTGGTTTTTCCCTTTTCTTTTCAGGAGCCCAGGGGCCATGATCTATTGCTGTTCCCTTTTTTCCTTAGGGCTCCAACCAAATATCCTCAGATTCGGTGGTTAGACCCCCCCAAATCCATCCACCCCAACCATTTTCTCAGGTCTTGGAGGTGGGCCAGGAGCCCTATAGGGCCCTATAGGGTTGTGACGCTTCAACCGCCCTGGCCCGTCCGCCCTGGCCGGCCCGCCCTCCATCCTCCCTGCTTCCCGGGACCGGGTCGTCGTCTCACTGGGTCCGGGTCGGACCGTCGCCCGCGGGGGACGTGAGGCGATGGACTCTACGGCTTCGGCAAGGCGGCGGCCGATGGGTTGTTAGGCTCCGAAGGGGCGGAGTACCGGCCCCTGGCCATCGAAGCCTTGCTGCGGGTGAGGCCGATGGGGTCTGCGGAAGTGGAGAGAACGGGCCTTGCTTCGGAAGGAGAAGGGATGAGGAGGATGAGGATGAGGATGAGGATGATGAGGATGAGGATGAGGATGAGGATGAGGATGATGAGGATGCGGATGAGGATGAGGATGATGATGATGAGGATGATGATGATGATGGGGGTTCAGATCTGGGACTTGGGTGTGGAGGCTTCGGGTGGGATGTGTGTGAGGCGCCTTTTTAGGGGATCAAAAGGA